GTAATGTTTAGGCAGCACCACCCCGTAAATTTCCTTGTAATAATTTCTTTGTACTGTTTTCATTATTTTCACATGGTTGTGATTATACTGTATCCCACTTTCCGAGTATGCAACATTATGAGATGTGCTCTGAGACTCTGTGGTATAGCTAAGTAATGCAAAACACAGAAGCAAACCACATGTACCATCACAAGCATTCTGGCTTCTAACTGACCTCCAAGTGCCCTTCACTCACAGGCATTTCCTGTAGGTCCGCACTCTGTGCCACATGAAGTGGTGAGGGCTGAAAACACAAAGTCAACCAGAATTCCTGTCCTCACCATCTCAACCTGACAACTACCCTCGCTTTAACAGAAATATGAACGTAGTTGTGAGTCTGAAGGAATGAAATATGCTTAAAAGCTGGCTCTTTTAAACTTAGCTTTTTTGAGAAAAATTATCATATACACAGGATTTATCTCAACTACTGAAGCTTCCCCACATTGGATAAGGCTGTGTTCTTAGAAGGGGAAAGAGCTGTAATTCCTTTACTTATTTTATGACATGTCTTTTTCAACTTTTATTGCAATTAGTACTCTTTACTGGGTTTGTGGTATGTTTTATTTTTAAAGCCCATGTAAGAGCTTTTATTTGCTAAAGATGTCAATTTTACAAGACTCACTTCCCCTCCCCCATTCTCTTTTTGGGGTGGGGCAGGGGTGGTGCTGGAGATGGAACCCAGGGCCTTGTGCATGCTGGGTAAGCGTTCTACCAGACAGCCACCGTGCCAGACCACCCCGCCACACCAATCTACATGACACATTTGCTTATGTGCCACCAGGTAATTACAGTCTCCCAGTTTACGGAGAGGATGTAAAGCCAACGCTTTAATGAGCACAGGTGTTTATATCCAAATATACAACGATCCACACGCTCCTGGAACTATCTGCATGATATGTACAAACACTACAAGTTGTATTTCCTTTCTTCTCCAGTACTGGGGATGGAACCCAGGGCCTTTGCACTGGGCTATCTTCCTAGCCTCTGCACTGGGCTATCTACCTTCCTAGCCTTTGCATTTTTGTTTCCTATGCTGCAACAGTCTCACTAAGTCACTAAGCTGCCCAGGCTGGGCTCTTCATACCTCAGCTTTTACTTCTCCAGAAGAAATAACCATTCCCAGTTGCTAATTTCCTCTGCGATCTTCCCACTGAAGTGATTTTGCCTAAGTGGTCCCTGAAGGCATAAAGTAAGATATAAAACAAGGTACTGCATCATAATTTCACATCTCAGAAATATACCTCAAATGGTAAGAAGAAACTATAGCTGCACTGAACAGTGAGGGTTGTAAACACTGTACTGGTTAGAAAATCTGTTTGCTAGTTGAAGCTCCACCACTTACTGACTGGTGTGTTAAGAAGCCGTCATTCACGTGAGCCTCAGTTTTCTCATGTATGAAATAGGAATGCTTATATTCTACCATATTAAAGCACTAATTGTGAGAAGCAAATCTTTGTAAAAAATATAAAGCACTACATTAGTGTCAGTAACTAGGTCTAAGGATCATTAATTTATAACCATATCTTGAAAAGCTCAATGTCATCAACTTACTTTTTTTTTTTGGTACCAGGGATCAAACTCGGGACTTTGTGCTTGCAAGGCAGGTGGCAGCATCAACTTACTTTTGAAAGGGCACTGTTTCCTTATGCTTCTTCTAAGTTGTCACAAAGATTTTTTATATAAGAAAGGTGATACTGTGTTTCTCAGAGACAGCACTGCACTACACCAAAAGGGATGCTGCTGTTACCAAGTATCTGCTGGCAGAAGGCACCAAAAACACATTTAGGAAAGAGAAAAAAGAACTAGGGCAGCAAAAGACACTGTGTGGTAATCTGAATTTCTTTTATTTTCACACTGGATTTAATGTGGAGAAGTATCAACTACTGTATTCTATGTGTCTTTATGTTGAGAACTTAAAATGCTCTTAGGATGTATATCCTTTTGAGCTGTCCAATAGTTTTGATAGCAAAGTCTAAAAAGAGCCTTTAGGCATGAAAGAGTCACTAATGGTTTTAACCCTTGGAGACTTAAGTGGATTTGTTTACCATTGTTTTTCATTAATGAAGATTACTTAGCCAGGTCCCTAATGACACTTGTTTACAGCAGACCTCCTAGGAAGCAGAAATCCACACACTGTAACTGAAGTAACCACTAGTAAAGTTACCGTGTCTAGAGGTTTACAAGTCAGTAAAAGACAAGCTCCATACTGGAGGATTTAACCACCCTCTAGATAAAAAATAATAGCAAAGAAAATTGCATCTTTACAGAACAGGGACAGACTTTTTGCCTTACTCCCTAAACAACACTGTGTAACAACTATTTACATAGTATTTACATTGTACTAGCTAATACAAATAATCTAGAGATGATTTAAGGTACGTAGGAGGATGTGTACAGGTTATATGCAAACACTCTACCAGTTTATATAAGGGACTTGAGCACCTGAGGCCTTTGGTGCTCCCAGAGAGAGGGTGTTCTGGAACCAACCTCGTGTAGATGCTGAGGGACAAACAAGAATACTGTACGTGGAAAATGTCAGGCTTTCCTACTACCCTACAGGAAATAAACAGCATGTTATATTAGTAACTGTACGGGGAATTTCTCAACTAAAATGTACATGGGGTAGAGGAAACTCTGTCCTAACACACTTACTTTGACAAGTGACAGCACAACCAAAGATTCTAACGTGATATTTGCAAAACACTGTGAATCTATAGATGTAGTATGGCTTCTCCCAACTGAACAAATAGCAGCTGACTTCCTAGCCTGAATCTCTATCATGAGTGTTAAAAATATGTTCTTTTTAATGCTTGCTTTTTCTTCATTTAATTCTACCATCAGCACGTAATAGTATTTTTCTCTTTTTACTGTATCATAGTATTCCATTATATAAATATCCCACAGTTTCTTCAGATACTTTCTAACTGCTGGACATTCAGTTATTTCCTATCTTTTGCTGTTATGCGCAATGTTTCAGTGAATAACTTTGTTTACTCAGGCTTAATCTACAACACAGAACAGATTCTAAAAGTGACACTGTTTAATCAAAGGGTAAAAGGCAGCTGTAATTTTAATACACATTGCTAAGTTCTCCACAGAGACTGTGCCATTTGGCACTCCCACTCCCCAAATTCTAACTCAGTAGCTAAGGGCTGGGCCTGAGCAGGCCTACCTTGAAAAAGCTACCCAAAGAGTACATTCCTCACTGAGAATCCCTATTCTAAAAGGTATTCTTTGCCTTATTTACATTGTTCCAATCCAAAAGAAAGTCTCCTTTAATCTCCAAAGTTCTTTTTCCATAAATACTTCTCAGTACTTATATGCTAGGCACTCTAGACATCAAGGATATAAAGATACATAACAGTACCTGTCGTCAGGAGTCCTCAGGGCCTAACGTCTAGAAAGAGACATAATTATAAAGTAAATAAGTATTACAGTTGAAGAGTTACAGAGTACTATGGGGACAATGAGGAAGACAGTGGCACCCAGAGGGAGGTGTCCCTGGGGAGTGGAGGAATTAACCAGATAGAAAGGAGAAGAGGTACAAGGAATGGGTGTTCTCGGTTGAAAACAATATATGTAAAAGAAGGAAGAAACAAAAGAGACAGATGTGTGTATAACCAGAGACACTTTATATTGCTAGAGCATAAAATACAGGGATTTTATCAATTGTATTTTTGTGTTTTGTTTTTATGGTACTGGGGATCCAACAGCTGAGAATGGCATGGTCAAACCGCTATTGCAGATTTATGGACAATCAAATGGAAGGAGATATAACTGAAAAATGAAAAAACAGTTAGAAGCAGGAGGATCACAAGTTTGAGGTACCTTAACACAGCCCTGTCTCAAAACGGCTGGGAATGTAAGGCTGTAGATCAGTAGTAGAGCACCCATGGGCTCCATCTCTAGTACTGTCAAGAGAAGGAGGAGGAGGGGGAGGAGAGGAAGGGAGGAGAAAGAGAAAGAAAAAAAGAAAAAAAGAAAGAAAGGAAGGAAAAAGAAAGGAAAGAAAGGAAAGAAAGAGAGAAAGAAAGAAAGAAAGAAAGAAAGAAAGAAAGAAAGAAAGAAAGAAAAGTGATACAGAAATCCAGAGAAGGTGTGAATTAGGGCAGAGGTAAGCTGAGAATGGACTGAAGAAATCTGAGGGAAAGTGAGGCAGATAGATACTAAATGTAGCGACAGAGGCAAATGAAAGTACGACTTGAAGGTGTTATTAAGCTACTATCAACAAAGTACTGGATTTAAACTATCTTATTCCAGCAGCAGTAATAGATTTACACTGATTCTGTCTTACTGCCTTATCTGTTCTTGACATTTGTGAGGTCAGGACAGTTGTATGGAGCCCAGTAAAACGCAGAGTCAGAACTGGCAGGCTTAGACTTGTTAGCAGCACGCTTTACCAACCAGTAAGGCAGCCAAAGGCAACACCAACAAGCAAGCATCCCCCTTGTGGTGCTGCCCTCTCTCTCTCTCATGATAACTCCTCCACGTGTGAGTCTCTTGCCTCCATTCCCCTCTGTGTCAGTGAGGCCAGTGTCCTGGACAACCACAGCAATGTAAGTCACTTCCAGCATAGGGAAGGCTATGCATCTAAGGGACAGGAGTAAGAACAGCTGCGTTCCCCAAATTTAACTCATCCTAGCAAAGCCTTACAGTAGCAACACTGTGGGCAACCTGGAGTCCTGCCACCAAACAAAAGCCACCTTTCGGCAGTGAAAACTGTGGGGACAGAACCCATCCTGAACCCTCCCCACTCATCCGATTTACACAAATCAGATGGGCCTGTGGGCGGGAGCGGGAGCGGAGCAGGAGGGAGCGAAACCGAAGGAAAGCCAAGAACAAAGCAACACTGATCAATGAGAAGAAACCCACCACGTACGAAGTCCAGGAATGACACACACAATTTCAGGGTGTGAAATCATGCACGCACAAGTACACACAAAAACAGCACCAAGGCTTACCTTTCTTATATCTTCATCAGTCGGTTCAAATTTGAAAGTGGCCCTATGCTGAGGGGAAAGGGAAAACAACGTCATTTGAAATACACAGATGTTAAATTTTGGCTATATTTAAAAATGCATCACCCCCGATACCAAAAATAAATATATGAATGAATGAATAAATAAATAAATAATAAAAATTCATCAAATAGTGTTCTCATAAAAATATTCTCACAAAAATGTCGTTTTTTACACCTCAATATTCTCATTAAAGAGATAGGCATGTGAGCAAATGATTATGAAGTACTGTGAAAAAACTACTGCAGAAGTGTATAGAAACAAGATTCAGAACCAAACCACTAACCGCCAGGGAGATCTGGAATCCTTTGCTCAGGGTATGCAGCAGTTGCGGTGGACCCTGAAGGATACATAGGAATTTGCAAAGAGCAACTGGAAGCGTTCTAGGGGCAAAACAAACGTTCAGACGTGTGAACCTGTGTGATACATTCACACAATGAGCAGCTCGACGAGGCCAGAGCATGGAATACATGTTAGGGGATGGAGGTGTACAGGAAGACAACAATGAAGGAGTAGTTTGGACAGATTCAGGAGAGTCTTCCAATGTGCTGAGTTTACATGTTCTTTCTGGTCTGCAATAAGAAAGCATCAGGGAACTGCAGACAGGGAAAAGACTTTCGATATTTTAGAAAAGTAATCCTGTAAGAATGACAGTTTGGGGCCGGGGATTTAGCTCAGTGGTTTCAACGCCTGCTGCATAAGTGCAAGGACCCGAGTTCGATTCCCAGTACCAAAAAAAAAAAAAAATTGACAGTTTGACTCACGGCCCCATCACTTGGTCACTAGCTGTGACCCCAAGCAGTCAGTCTGTCTGGGCGTCTCATTTGAAAGTAGAGGGTAACAGGGTGAGTGTGAGGGTCAAAGAACTAAGGCGCACCAAACCCCCGCTTCGTGCCTGGCACACGGTAAATATCAGGGTTTATGATGACGACGATGATGATGCCAACTGTACTGAGGAAAACATAACTCAAGGGAAAAGCGTTGTGCTTCTCCTAAAATGACTGGCAACACTTTATTTTCCACTTTGTAGCTGAAGTAGAGGAAAATGGAAGACAGAATAAGTTGGCCTGTCCACAAAGAGTGGTGAGACCCAGAAGAGCACAGAATTCTTCATTCTCTGCTTAAGTTTGACCCAGGAGAACCAAGTGCTCTTTTGAATTCTCTACTTTGACTCTGTATTTCTCTTATTGGTCACACTGACAAATATGAATTGGCAACACACCAGGAGTTAAATACATTAAGTACTAAAAATAGCGTCACTACAGGTGGTTCTGCATTGGCAGCTTTGGAGAAGAAGCAATGTTTGAAATCAAATGAGATGGGGAAATGTTGGTAGAGAAGCAGTTCTGAGGATAAGAAATTGTTAGAGAGAAAAGGGTCATCTGAGAAACCTCAGGAAGGCTGCTTTCAGTACAAATGTAAAGCAATTAAAGTGGATGATATCAGGTGGTAAGTACAGGGATTTAAAAATTGATACCTGAAACTGCAGATAGGGGACAGGTAACTAGGGGAGGACTAGGAGGTAGGCATGAACATCACTCCAGACGAATATGTTGACAGCAGCTCACAGGCCAGATCTAAGGAGAGCAAGACTGAGGACACACAGTTGTGGGAGGAATGGGCATCTACAATCCAGGCACATTACTGGTGGCAGTATAGTACACGACATGAACCTTAAAAGGCAAAGTGATGTGGCACACATAGTAGAAGCCATAAAAATATTTATCCCCTTTGACCCAGAACTGCTACTCTCAGGAATTTATCCTAATGAAATCATCCAGAGAGAGAGAAAAATTACGTATATAAGCATGTTCGCTGCAGTTATCTTAATCGGGTGAAAGAATAAAAGACAACTTGAATACCCACCAAGAGACTGGTAGAATGCTGTGCAAGTAACAATATTCTATTAAACATATATTAACCTGACAAAATGCTATAAAGCAACTAAAAAAAAGGACTGATTGTTGGCATGTTATATTTTGTAATAAAAGTATTTTTAAAAGAACAAATGAATGAACAAGAAAGGAAAGCAGGAAGGAAGGATATGGTATAAATCTGAATGACAGGTACATGAATTTATAGACCTGAGATTTAGTAAAAACTACCTTTAAAGATCAGGAAGCACCAGACATCAAGCTAAGTTGTAACTGGAAGCTCAGTAAAGGTTTGATGCAAATGTAAATAAATAATTGTACTTAAAAACCAAGAAAGCTTATTTTCTGCCATTTTACATAAAATACTGATTCTGTACATTATCTAGAATACATGTGCCTAATGGCTCTCCTCAACTGTTGGGGGGTATGTATGGGAAGAAGAGAAAAAAAGAAACCAAGTAGGTTACAAAAATATCTTTTAAATAGTTCCTACATAGAAGTCATTTTTTTAGGTGAGAATTAAGAATAGTATCAAGGGCTAATTTTTCTGTTGCTTTTTAAATGCAAGGCTGATTCTGTCATAAACCACATTCTTTTTGAAGTCTTGAAAAGCACTGTGGGACCACCGTAAGAGCTTAGTTAGAAAATATACTCCTATGTGAGGTACTACAAACTGAGCTCTGTGTAAAACAATCTATTCAGAAGCTGAGATTATTTAGGTTTAACATATGTTGGTTACTAAGGCAGCTACTTTTATGCTATTTGGATCATGTTTAGTACCATTAATCCTTATTTGCTCCTTTTCTAAAGCTCAAATGGAGAGGTAGGGAACTAGCACTCCTAGCCCCAACTCCCTTTCTAGCTAGAGCTGTCAGCCAACAGCTGACCACCTTACTTTCCTTACACAATTTCCACAGGAGCAGGAGTAACAGGTCAAACATAAATGACAGAATAAAGCCATTATTCAATCTAGAGATCAAGCAAGCTAGAACAGCTCTGTGACACACTAGATCCATTTTGAGGACTCTTTTTTTGGTACCGGGGATCGAACTCAGGACCTTATGCTTACAAGGCAGGTGTGGCACCACTGAGCTACATCCCCGGCCCGAGGACTCTTGACTCTAGGTTTTATACCTGATGAGGGGGCTCTAAGAAGCTCAGGTGGGGCCGCGGGTTTAGCTCAGTGGTTCTGCCACCTGCCTCACAAGCCAAGGACCCGAGTTCTATCCCCAGTACCAAAAAAAAAAAAAAAAAAGCTCAGGTGTCAGACAACCTTGAGTTTGAGGTGAGTTCTTTCTGCTGCTTTGTAAGTGTAACCTTGGTCAAAGTATTCAACTCTACCTCCCCTCAGATTTTCCTTATCTTTATGTGTAGCATCTTACACATGGCAGGTGTTCATTAAACAGCCACTGCTGTTGTTACTGCATGGCCTTGATGTGGGCGTCTGGCCAAATACTGACCTATTAGAGACCTAGGAGTTACTCTGCAGATTGCTAGCGACGCTCAAACAGCACAGTACAAGGCAACACACAGACCAGGGCGGTGCTGTGCCCCAGGCACAGATTACTTTGAGAACTAAAGACAGGTAACTGATTACATAACCCAATAGGAAAGCAAGAACAAGGCGTAGCAAAGGCTCCAGTCATTACACGTGCTCCTCTGCACAAACCCAGCGTGAACTCACAATCAGAACTCAAGTCTGTCCAGTGGAAAGGGCTGGGCATAGTAGATTCAGTTACCTCTCAGGTTCCTGCTAGTTAGTATATCCTGTGATTTGGGCTCAGGGTGTAGCTCAGCAACAGAACATATTCTTAGTATGTACATGTGAGACCCTAGGTTCAATTCTAGCACACACACACAAAATCCTATGAATCAAGGAATCCAGATACTACTGCTTACCTCCAGGCCTTGATTACTATTTTTTGTTGATAATCGTGATGGTGATAACAGCCAATCTCTCTACTAAACCTGGTATTAGAATAGGCCCTGAAGGACAGTAGGTGCCTGTACCATCTAGACTAGAGCAACATTACTTCCCAAATGAACAGCTCATTTTACAACTAAGGTAGAAGTAATTAAGACGCAATAGTAGGTAAAGGAAGTAGGACATGGCTTCTGAAAAAGCTTTCTCTTGTGCGTCAAAAAATATGGAACAAACAGGGAAAAGGCAATATGGCCCTGCAAAAAGAGTCCAGGATATGAAAACCAGGTCTGCTACCTTCTAGCTATGTGCCGTTGAGCCCATATATAATCAGTTTGTCTCTCTCACCTCAATTTCCTATTTTAAAAAAAGCAAAGAATTTATCTCCCTTACAACTTTTTGTTTTTGTTTAGTCGTTTGGTTGTTTTGGAGACAGGGTCTCACTATGTAGTTCAGATTGGCCTTGCACTCACTATGCAGTCCAGGATGGCCTTGAACTCTCAATCTTCCTGCCTCTGAGTGCTTGGATTACAAGCCGGTGTGCCACCAAAACCCAGCTCTCCTTTAGAACTTTTAATACAAGAAGATTATATGTGATGATGTGAAAGTTCTTAATATACATAGTAGCTGCAGGCACTCAATAAATATTAACAGGTAAACTAGAAGGAGTGAAAAGCAACCACTACTTAAAACCTAACCAAAGGGCTGGGGATTTAGCTCAGTGGCACCGCGCCTGCCTAGCAAGTGCAAAGTCCTGAGTTCGATCCCCAGTACTGCAAAAAAAAAAATAATAATAATAATAATAATAAATAAAATAAAACCCAACCAAAACAAACTTTTCCTATTGAGTCAACTGCACTATATCCTTGATGAACAGATGCATTTCATTCTTCCTGGGATGCAGAACTTCCTTCTCCTCAAGACAACATGGGTAAGTGAACGAAGCAGGAACACTTGAAAATTAATCTCTAATGCCGCAGAAGTGAGATATTCTCTGGCCACCCAAACTCCTGAGTACCTTAGTTGTTACACTTCTAACTTACTGAGTGACCACTTCCTAGGTGCACGGTGCTCAATGTTTGGCATTACATTTCATTAACTTAATCCTGACAATAAATTAAGAAAATGGTTATTATCCCTATCTTACAGATGAGGCAACTGAGACTCAGACACTTAAAATAATTTATCCATAGTCATAAAACTAACAATAGAGCTGGAATGAGAAAGAAGATCCCCCTCCTCTTCTAAATAATGAATGAATCACTCTTTCTATTATTCATTCCTCTTTTGCTTGGGCTCCTCAATGCCCCACAATTCACTTCTTATTGCAAACATCTCTCATGTACCAGATAAGGAAACAGAGGGACATGGTATCCAGCTCCTACTGCAGGGTTTCAGACTCCATGTACTGTAAAGCTGGGCCGTTTAATTCCACTCCCCTGTTCTTAATGGTGACCACTATTATGATATTTCCCTTTCCTATTCATCTTCCCCCAAAGTATCCCTTTGAAGGGCAAAACCTTACTGACACATGAAGCTCTGCTATTTTCTTTGTACCATAACCGGTCCTATAGCATGGGTCCTACTATAATCAGCAATAACATGAGAGCTTTTTTCTGCACATGAAGTCAGAACAATCCCAGCCTCAGCTTGGCCACAAAGTGTCTGGGAATCCTTCAAAACACTTCAGAATAGCATCTTAACACATAACGGGCATAATTTCTTCAAAAACATTTCCAGTAGGAAAAGGGGGAGCTGGAGATGTCCAGATGGTAAACTCTGACAATATCTGGCCAGGAGTAGTACCGATAAGTGGAAACCAACCTGGAGAGAGATCAAGGAGAGGAAAAAACACGTTGAGGAAGGCAAATCTGGGGTCTAATAAATTTAACCATGAAGGAAAAGAGAAATATTGAAGGAGATGGTTAAGATCCGATTGGAGGTTCTTCTCCGGTCCCTTATAAAAGAAAGTTTCTATTTACTGCCAGGTATCTGGCATATAGTAAGTACTAAATAAACATTACGTGTTTCAAAACAATGGCCAAGTTCTCTATTATACTTCTTTTCAAAATAAGTTTGTAGCTACATCGTATCTTTTCTGGGAAGCAGTAATAAATCAAGTTAAAAAAAATACAATCTACGCAACATGTACACTTACACATTAAATGAGTTCCTCCTAAATTAGGCAGATATGCTTAACTGCAAAGCTATTAGAAAGTGAAAGGGCTAAGATATAAATAGAATACAGCCCATGCATCCTTCCAAAGAAACCAGCGTGAGAGCGTTATACTTAGATGTGGACATCCTAGATTCAAGTCTTAGCTCCATCTTTCATTGACTGAAGATGGCAAACTAACAGTTCAATAGTACAAAGTATATGAAACACATACATGGAGATCTGGACAGAGGCTAAGGAAAGGAAGATGTTACATCTAGGGTGTGACTCGGTGTAGGGTATGTTTCCACAGAAGGGAGTAGTCAATCATTCCTACAAAGTATTCTTCTAAACAGACCAAAGGTGTGGTACCCTACCTTTTAAAGTGAACATGTAAAATTCCTGGAATGACAAGTAATGGAGAGCCAACGGTTCTTGGACATTCAGAGATGTGTCTATGCTTTATAACAAGATACCGCTTCACTGTAGAGTTATAAAGTGGAAAGAACAATGAATGGATAGTTTGAAGACCAGTCTGGAATCCTGGCTCCCAAATATGACCTTGGGCAAGTTACTTAACCCATCTGGAGCCTCAACTGGAAAACACAGATAATGCCTCCCAGAACCGCTGTCAAGATTAAAGCAGATAATGAACAGGAAAGCTGTTAATGTAATACAAATAGTAAGTATTAGGAGGAGTTAGATTCTCTACCCACTTACAACAGAATATATGTCCATGACCTTGGGCGTCATTTCAGTTCTTTGCACCTCTGTTTCCTCATCTATAAAATGGGAAAGCTGATACCATTTACTCCATAAACACTGGGGATCCAATGAGACCACAGGTGAGGCAACGCTCTGAGAACTGTACAGTGGTACAGGTAGATAAGAAACTGCCATCATCTTGGTATATTTTATGCACGTCAACGGCCGTGTTTATGCACACAAGCGCGTGTTTTTATGCTATACAGGTGTGGAAGGGTCGCCTGCATTTATGCATCCCGGAGTGGGGCACAGGCACTGAGGCACATCGATCTACGGGTTCTGGGGGTGTGACTGACACGCCTGGGAAGGGGACCGGCGGGACAGGGCGCTGAGCTGGGAGCGAGAGGAGTGGGCGCTACCGTGGGGTCAGGGGGGTGCGGGAGGCGACGGGAGGAAAGGCTGGGGGCACCAACACGCATGCCCACGCCGGAAACGTTTTCGGGGAGAGCAGGGCGCGTCCCCGGAATGCGGGGGGTGGGGAGGGATGCGCGGGGCGAGCCCCGAAGGCGGCCCGGGCGCGATAGCGCGCCGCGGCCGGAGCGTTACCTTGTCGCTGTAGTCCCGCAGGACCCGCTCGATAGCGCCCGCCTCGCCGGCCCGGACGATGCAGAGGGCGCGCTCCTCGTCCATGGCCGCAGGTGCGGGGAGCCGCGGCCGCTCGCGCGCCCGAGCGCTGCCTCCAGGTGAACGCCTCGCGCCCCCGCTCGCCCGCTCCTTCCCAGCTTCCTTCCTTCCCTCCCTCCCTCCCTGCCTCCCTGCCTCCCTGCCTCCCTGCCTCCCTGCCTCCCAGTCTCCCTGCCTCCCTCCGGGCTCCAGCCCGCCAGCCTCCGCCCCGCCGGCCAGACGTCACCGCCCCTCAACTTTGACCCCGCGACGTCACCGCCCCCGGCGGCCGCCCCAGCGCGAGGAGGCTCGGCCCGCGCGAGGCAGCGTCAGGCCCGCGGCCGCGCGCTCTTCCCTCCTGCTCCCCGCCTCGGAGAAGAGGACTCCAGTCTCTCCAGAGGGTTTTCGCGGACAGAGCTGCTCTCTCCCGACCCTCTATGAATCATTCTCCTCTGCGGACCCGAACCACCCGGCTCTGCCCCGCCCATCGGCGAGCCGGCGACGGAAAGGACTACAACTCCCTGCATGCAATGCAGCCGCTGCGCGCCGCAGCCCAACAGACGGCATGCAGAATGGCATGGCGGGATTGGTAGTCACCGTGCGGGAACGACTTCCCCCCAAGGGCATGCTGGGAACTGTGGTGCCGCGAGAACAGAAGCTGAGTCTGGGAACGGCCTGCGGCCGGCAGAGAGACCGTTAGGGCCAGGGTCTGAGCGTCGGAAGGGCTCTTCTTCGGCGCTCTTCCTCGCGCCGTCGGCCGTCCTGCGCCAGGCTCGGCTAGTCCGACTGTCTGGCGGTGGCGGGAACGGCCTCCGTTGGCTGGAGCTGTCAAGCCCGAGTTAATACCCTCGGGTCGCGGCTAACGGTTCCGGTCTCTGCAGTTGTCACCTTCCTGCCTCGGCTGCCTTGGTGTGGCCAGGGGAGGCAGCGCTCTAGGTCCGCGGGAAGCCGGAGTCCTGTGCGGGCGGAGCTGCACGCTGGCCAGGGGCTCCCCAGTCACCGTCAGCCCCTGATTCCCGCCGTCAGGAGGAACCCAGCAGGTGGTTTGGCCTACGTCCCAAGGCAGTCAGTGGAGACGGCGAGGTTGGAACCTGGGTCTCTCCCGGAAGTGGCTGCAGCCCAGCCCCGTCAATGCCGTCGTCCTGACAGGGCGGCAGAGGCCGCCGAGCGCGTGTTCGCCAGGTGTGAACTGCGTGCCGCGCTCTCTGTTCACACTTCCTTGTTGCTTCCAGCAGTTCCTCACACATTCATTGAACAAACTCCTACGCACCTGTGCTGTACCCGGCAGCAAGTGCAGGGTGGGTACAGTGGCTCCGGAGGGAAGTCCCAGTCCTCATGGAGCTGCCATTGCAGCAAGAACCTTCTTATTCTCGTTTTACAACGAGAAAACAGTGTCCGGTTATATATCTCAGGTTATATGCAGATTTGGGGTTTTAAAACATTCTGTTAGTCCCTGTTTGCCATCTGTGATGAGCACGTTCCTCGTGGGGAGGGGCATTTGTACATAACACATCCTTGTTTTTTTTACCTCCTCTCCCCTCTCCCCCCTCCCTGCTCCTTCCATCTCCTGGAAAACTGCAGATTATGGAAACAGGAGCCTGTGCTCTTGCTTCCTTCCCTTGCTTGTCAGTAGACAGCAGATGAATTCTCCAAGTAACGTCCATGCTCTCCACTCCAGTCATCTCTGAGGTCTCCCCTGCCACCTCTCCCTCTGGAGCTGTGTGGAAGGGGAACTAGAGGAAGCAAAATCCGTTCACCTAATGATAGAGTACCTTCTGTATTGTGTATGCTAAGTATTGTGCCAAACATTGGGAATTTGGAGACAAAAACAGACATGGAAACTGAGGCCATGGAACTTTTGTTTTTTCTGCGAATTATACTTTTCATGCAGCAAACATTTATTAGGCTTATTGGTGAGCCAGTCATTTGGGGGAGGTATTAGTCAGCTTTCTCTTACTGTGACGCAATGCCTGAGATAATAAGGGACAAGATTTATTTTGGCTTCAGTCCATGGGCTCTTGGCCTTCTTGCCTGTAAGGTGGGCAGCATGTAGCTGAGGAAACTGCTCACCTCATAGCAGCTAGGAAAAAGAGATGGGGATGGGTGAGGGCCCACATCCCCTTCTGGGCATGCACCAATAACCTCCTCCAACAAGGTTCTCACTTAAACGTTCCACTACCTCCAAATGGCGCCACGGGTTAGGAACCAACCCTTTAACACATGGTCATTTTTGAGACATTTCAGATCCAAGCTATAGCTGAGTGGGTGCTACATGTGTAATAAATGATCTCGGATTTTAATTCATCTCTCAAGCACACTTCTTACAAAGCTTATGGAATAGACACATAATTTCCATAAGTTTATGGAATAGACATAAAAGACATAATTTCAATGAACTATTGAAAAGGTACTATTCCCACTTTATGGATAAGAAAAGAGGGTCAGGTGAATTAAACACAAACTGAGACTCCAACTAAAGACTATTAGCAAGGTATTCGGATGCCCAGTCTGTGTCCAATACTGTATCAACTGCTTTTTGGGTAGCTCCATATTTTTTGAGTAAAGGTCTCTTGGAGAGGATATCAGCAAGCATAACAATCCCAATAGAAATGTTTCTCTTAAAGAGGGTCTTACATGTCCCTGAAAATCTGTTTGCCAGATCTTACACTTCTAAAAAGAGATTGAAAACATGTGAAACCACATGAATTAAAGACTTGGGAAGTTGTACTTTAGTAACTTTAAGCATTAATATTCTGATTTTATAAGCCTAAGGATCTTTGAGTCTATTTTAAGTCATCCATTGACCACTGATGAGACTCAGCTCCAAGAAGAATTAAGTGGCTTGTCCAGAGTCGATAGTTAAAAGCCAACTCTGGGATTAGATCCTAGAACAGCCACTATAGCACTTTGCCTCCCTAACTATTAGTCATGTGATACTTTTCAGTGACTGGAGATTCTAGTATGGCACTACTTTGAGTTCCTGTTGATTTATGGGGTGCATAGTACCAAGGAATTAGGAGTTAGAGCCTGGGTAATTGAAGCAACGAAGTATTTGGAAGTCATTGCTCAGAAAGATAGTAATATAATTCTGTACATCTACAGTATATGAATAGTGCTTTCTGTTCTCAAATATCACCTTTGGATTATCTGATTTAATCCTTATAATAGCTGAAAACTGTAAGATCAATAGGGCAGGCACTATCTTTTTTACAGTGAAAAGGGAAGTTCAGGGTGTTGATTAGCTTGCTGGTAAGCAAATCAGCCTCCTAATAAGTGGTATAGTTAAGGGGTAGAAGTGCTCTGGGCTCTGATAACAAAATGTCATGAACTTGCAGGTAGGGCAGTGAAGCAGGCTGCACACAGATACTGGTCGTTTGTTCTGGACTTTGGTATATCCTGCTGTGGCATTTCCTCTTGCCATGAAAATGGGCTAGTTGGAATGCACTGAACTGAAGGTCTGTAAGCAGTACTTGGTGCTGCTTTTAAAATCCTGCTTTTCATGTGCAATGCTTCTAGGACATTTTTGTTAGAAGTGGGAATCAGAAACAACAGCTCAGTTTACTGACGGCAGCTGGAGAATGTGGGTTGAGAGAATCCCAGTAACTCAGGACAGGAACTGTCCCCCATCCCGGCACTATGTGAGGCCGCTCAGCCTCTCTTAAACCAGGGTCCTCAGCTATAAAATAGAGGGTCGGATCCAGAGGTTTTAGCTCTAGTTCTAAAACTGTATGATTTGAAAACAAAATCACCTTGGAATATGTTCATTCTTTAGAAAAAAATCTATTCGTAAGAGAGGGGTTGTGCAAATCCACTATCAGTACCATGATATGGGAAATTGATGCTTGGCCCCTTTGAAGTTCTGACTCAGTGGATCGGTGCTGAGGCCTGGGTACTCAGAGTTTTTCCCAGTTGATTCAACTCAGCAGCCAGGATTGAAAACCACTGAACCAGTATTTATAAGAGGATCAGCCGCTGAACTAGTTTTTGGTACACGTTCAAATCATGTACATGTAACAGTCTTTGAGGCGTCCGAATAACCAGCTGGTTGTGATGCTGTGCCCCGGTAATCCCAGCAATCTAGAGGCTGAGGCAGGAGGACCCCAAGTTTGAGTCCAGGCTGGACAATTTAGTGATTTAACAAAACCCCATCTCAAAATAGAAAATAAAGAGGGCTAGGGATGTAGCTCAGTGGGAAGTCCTTGGGTTCAATCCCCAGCACCACAATCAACCAAATAAAAAAAAAAAGATTCCCACAATCAACCAAATCAGAATCACCTTGCAAAATGGACGTTATCATTTCATTTTCTACCAAAAATGAAGTTTCCCTGGCATAGCAAAGCCAATTAAGTTTGTTCCTTTTAACAAATATTTAGTGCACAGCATTGTCTTAGACAATATGAAAAGTAAAAACAAGTGGAATGATCCTGTCCTTTGGGATATAGGAAACAGACAATAAACAAGTGTTTTTATGATAGGAAGGAAATTGAACTGACTGTGCAAATCAAGGCAAGATAAACCTTAATGTGAAAGGGAGTAATCTGAGAAGGCTTCATGGAGGATGTGAGTAACATCAGATGGTGGAGACCAGACGGGGAGAAACAGTACGTGAGAAACAGAGGCCAAAATTCACGTTTGCTATTAGCGACTCCAACTTGGCCAGATTTGAAAGCCAGCAATGGGGATTTCTTTGAGGTCAATTTTGTCAGCCAGATGAGGAAAAGTTAAATCTGAGAGAGGTTTCATAATCAATGATGGCTTTATAAGCAGCCAATCCCACTTTAGCTTACAATGTATTATAATTTTGAAACTATTACCATACAATGCCAAGTGACATAAAATAAAATAGACCTGGAGGATCAGAGGGAGGTCTGTTG